AAAAATAAAAAAACGAAAAAAAGAAATAGAAGAAAAAATAAAAATTGCACGATAAATTTATTTACAAATAATCGGATTAAAGGCTATGAATACTTTTACATCCGTGCATTATGCTAACTGTTATATGTACGTGATTGTTACGATAACCATATTATTGTATGAGGGTAAACGTACACGCACACACAATATATATATATATATATATATAAACATATATGCATATATTTATATATGTTTTTATGTATAATTACACATATATATATATATGTTCGTGTGAATAATACTTGGAATCGTAGTATTTCCTGTGATTAGGATTGGATGGGCATGAAGAATACTACAGCTGCATGATTATTGAACGTGCTCTTGATGCAAAAGTTGTGACTTTAACAGTTTTTGCATTGTTATGATAATATCAGAGATGCATACAGAGGTGACAATTCATGAATTTAGTTACGTACACATTCATATATACATATTTTGCTATGTTTTACTCAAACATACGGTAAATAGTTAACTAATAACCGAAGAAGTTAATCTCCTCACAATTGATATGCGATGCGTCTTCATAATAAGCTACGGTAACAACATATTATTCGGTAGTGAAACTAATTTCCTTTATTAGTAACAGACAGAACTACGTATGAAGAGCGGTAAAATCTATAATACACTTATATTCGTCTTAGCACGAATATTAAATGCTCCTCATCTGAGGAACGTGCTATAAACGAAAATTCTGCATTTTTTCTCACAATTACGTGACAGTGACCTACAGAATATACACATGTATAAACATAAGTGTGATAAATGCTTCTGATAAATTTCTCTACCACTCCTCAAAGGTCATCTCGCATTTATTTGATCCTTTGTAAAATGCTTTTGTCACCTTTAGGATGAAGACATTTAATATGTCGAAAACTGTCCTAATAACTCGTGGCAAAGATGCTTAGTTCTCGAACTGCTTTTGTTTTGTCGTAGCTACACCTTCAACTTTCTCAAATTTTTTCACAAAATTCTATCTAAGTTATAGTGTAGATTGGCTTTGAAAATATTTTAAAATAATCGACTATTTTTATACCCACCACTGTAAGATGTTTTTTTTTTTTTTTTTTAATATACATAACACCCAAAAAGAAGCTTCAGAGGCCCTATTAAGTATATATATTCTTGACCAGCATCAAATTCTGAGTTGATTTAGCCATGTCTGTCCGTCTGTGTGAGTGTGTGGTGTGTGTTGTTGGCACTCTCCCGGTCGCAAAAATGGAGATATCAATTATGGTAGAAAAATTGGAAATCTTTGCACGCAAGTTGATATTGAATATGAGCCAAATTGGTGAGAGCAGATGTCCGCAACGGAGCATAAACTGAACGCAATTTCGTTTTTCTGAACAAAACTTTGTGGGTTTTTGCTCGTTTCTCAGAATTTAGAAAACCAAAATTTTCCAGATTTACATTACCCAGCAGTCTACACTTTGTGTGCAAAAATGGAAAAAATCAACCATGCCCACAAAAAATAGCGAGCGATTAAATGATCTTTTTTTCATTTTTTTGACGTTTTATGCTTACTTGTCATAAGGCAAACGAGACAGAATGTTAAAAATTATTTGCCTTAAAATGGATTTATTCTAAAATAAATATGATAGGCATCGCTACCTGGTGGATTAATTCTTTCTTGATAACACTAACGATATGGGTGTCAAATAAAAGAACTTGGAGAGAAGAATACAAAAAGCTTAGTGGAGATCCGGCCTCCGCCGAATATAACTCTCTTACTTATTCAAGGTGTTCCAGTTTGCGGCTTAAATGTGCCCGATTCCGGGCAAACTATGCTGCGCTTCAACCTTTATTTCTGCAAATCAACCGATGATGTCTATGCTAAGTTTCAGTTTTTCATATAAACTAGTGATAAAAGAGTATACTAAGTTCGCGACGAGGCATGCAACCCCCAGAAGGATTTGAAATAGGCCCATCTTCTATTATATCGATTGAATCAGAATCACTCTCTTTCTAAATCAATTTCAGCTCGTCTATCCACCTGCCCATCTTGTTTTCTTGTGTTCACACTACAAGCCGACATTTTTGAAATATTGTGATGAAATTTAGTATTGTGAAGTGTTTTGGCCAAACACGAACGCTGTTAAAGATTTTGCGTAGCGGATTGCTCTTTCGATCACTTTTCATGTTACTCTGAAGAATCGTTAAAACCGTGGGGTACTGTAGGGTGTTTACAGTTGCACCGTGACCCACTATTCTCTTTTTACTTGTTTCAATTTGATAAATCCCAAGAGAAATAGACAAATTGTTTGGCTGCCAAACGAACGACTCAGAGTGGACAACACATAGTGCAATTGGAGCATCTATCTAAACGTGACATATTAACTTTAAATAAATATAATATAGTTATTTTTTTGTCATGTTTCATGGTTACTATGTTAAAGCTACCACACTGACCGATCAATAGTTCGAAATTCAATATTTATTTTTTCATTAAGAGAGAGATAAGAATTATATTACGGACAACTTCGCTAAACTTACGGTAAAAATACTTTTTAGAACTTCTGTTAACCTCTCTGTCGATCTGTGTCGATTTATGTAATGAAAGAGCTTACATATGGATACATTTTTTAACTGTACTCGAAAAGTTGTAATAAATTTTGCTAAAATTTCAATTCTGTGATCCGGGACATTGCTATAATGTTTTACATAAAATTAATTATTCTTTATAGTCCTTGTAGCACCACTTGAGTGTGTGTAGCTTGCATCTGCTATTTTGAATCCATAAAGGAAAAAATCATTCATCATCAATGGTATTAAACGAACTGTTGCCCGTGTTTCTGTTATTGTGCGCCACGAACTTGAATACTTATTTTTCGTTTTATTAGAGAAATGTTTTCTTTCGTTTTATTAGAGAGAACGTTCCATATAAATATTCATTCATTCAACAAGAGATGTCATTTTTAATCAATCAAGCAATAGAACAATTGTTGCACGAACTGCATGGCAGGTGGTAACGTCCCGCTGAAAGTATACACCGCTCACATCTAAAGAATTAATTCCAAGCAAAAAGAGGTCAGTCAACGTACGGTATCCATTAACTGTCACTCGTTATGGTTAAAAAACTTTTTCGACTATTACTCTGGGGTTTTCGAATACCCAGTCGCGTACCTAGTTTGATAAAAATGAGAGGTACTTACGTATTAAGGCCACCACGTCAAAAATTCTATTAAAAAACCAATAAAAACCAACCTTTTAAACCGTTAAAAAAACCTTTTTTGGCTTCTAAATATAATAATAATATAATAATAATATAATAAAATTATAATAATAATAATATTTTAATAATAACACCAAATGAGATTAATTATTCAGAATAACTGTACCCTACACCACTTGTGGTACAAGGGTAAATTAAGTTTATGCGGATGTATATGTAATGCCGAGAAAGGCTTGAAATAGTCGCACCTTTTATTGTGCCGATCGACTCGTAATCATTTCCTAAACTGTTCTAAGCCTGTCTGTCCTTCTGGTCGCCTTGTTTTCTGATGTTTAACCTACGGGTGGAAAATTTTTGAGATACTCGGAGGAAATTCGTATTAACGGCATATTTTGGCTCAAGGATAAACGTTGTTAAAAATGGTTCGGATAGGAGCGCTTTTGCGACTACTTTCCACATTGCACCTTACTTTGAAAAGTGGTTACGTGAATACTGCAGCTGAAAGTGCTGCAAACACTTTCTCTAGGCTCATGGAGGCGTTCTTCCCCTAATTCTCATTATTTCTCTTTAGAATTTAAGAGTCATTCCTTTAGAAAAATTAAAATATCTGTCCCAATCACTTTTGTGCGACGGTACATAAAAGCTTGGGTCGAGGAAAGAGGATTATTAACCCTTTGCACTCCTGCGTCGACTAGGTCTCGGTATTGTATTCCTTACTCGCTCAACTTGTGTGTTTACCTATAGTCGACGTAGATCATTTAGGGCGTTAACAGTAGATAGAAAAAGGAATTAGGCACGCTAAGCGTTAAGAAAAGAATCAGCCCGCCGTGTCGTGTACCACATTTAATTTATAGCTTAGTTTACTTAGCTTGTTGAGTTCCATCCTCCGAGTAGTCTTATTTGGTAGCCATATGGAGGAGATTGCTAAAAGACAAGGATAATTCCGTACTTCGTGGCACCTGCCATATTTAATATAGAATGACGAAACTTCTCTTATCGTATTCGACTTTATTTGATATCTTTATCAAGAAAATTGTTAAGAAGAATATAATCCGACACTTCATGGCAGCCTCCATTCAGATATACGGATGTATGCAAACAATGCAATGCTTCGTGTTACTTATTTAACTACGCTTAATTAATTACGAACTTATACCGAATCGTATAAATATCGTGTTAATATAATATGAAACACCTACGACGATATACGATCGTATCATACGGATCGTATCATGATCCATTGCCACCGAATATGATGTAGCGGTTAGTGAAAGGTACGACAACATTCGGCTAAAGTCAAACTTGACTGCATTTTGATCGTAATTATAACTATTTTCCTGCATGCAATAATCATCAACTCTGCAACTCATGTTGGAAATATCATGCGAAACTTTGGCTTCATGTAAGGAAAAAGTATATTGTGTAATTAAAGCCTTTGTGCATATTTGCTTAAAAATTGATGAAAAATGTGCATGAAATTTCGGAATTGTAGCTCTATTAACTACGTTAGTCTTGTTAAGAGATTATTTGAGAAGACAGAGTAAACACCTTGCAATACCAAGCAGCGTACTATGTAAGAAAGTATTGTTGAATTTGAACCTTTTCTCTCACTCTATGGACATATACATCTTCATAATCAAATGTGAAGCCATTTAAGTTCGAAAAATAGGTTCAAAGCAATTAAAACTTATAAGAATATATTCTTGGGGGCAGTAATAGTGAATGCTTCAAAATTCGTCTTAAACTAAATGAAAAGTATTTTTATTTGCTTTCACGGTTCATAAAGTTGGATTCTACTTTATTGTTACCAAAATAATAGCTTATTAACATAATAATATAACTACATAAATAAATATGAATATATATGTACAGTGTGGCATAAAACAAATGCTATAACGAAGCAGAAGTGATTATATATTTCCTATTATTACTATTAAGCATTTAAGAAGGCACTATAGGAGGTCAAGACAAAGACCAAAGTCTACTATCAATGAAATGAGAAAACTTCGAACTGGTTATGGACAAAAATGTCTTTTAAAGCGTTTGTCAATGCCTACGAAAGTGAATTTCTGAAATCAACTGACTGGAGTTATCCGGAAATATTTTATTAAGCGATAGTGCGCTTCTAACATTTCAGACATTCTCGCAAAGAATTTATATCTCAAGCGGAAAATACAATCATTCCTTCTTGTCCCTATTTAACTTTATTACGTTACGCTCCGTTAGGAAATTTTTAAAATTTCAGAGGACAAGCATTCAACACAAAACATGTATTACTTTGATGGACTTTATTAATACGCTACAAGCTTTAAACCCAAACTTAAAAGGTCTAACATTAATACATAAATGTAATTAAAATTGCATTTGTTTTCTTCTGCACTGTACATATTTGCATTGAAGTTTTGAAAATCTAATAAAATTGACTAAAGCACTTGTAGTTTACGTGTGTCCTACATACATAAATTACTAAACTAAATCTTACAAAAAACACAAATACTCGCTTCAATTAAATAGCAGATCTACTGCGATTGGATGCAACTTCATTTGGCCGATTTGTCTCTATTGCGGCGCTTAGATCTGGAGGTTCGGCATTAAGCACTAAATTTTCATTAGAACAAAATGACGCTTCACATTGCGGATGCGACGAGTAAGTTCTGTTTCGATTAATTGTCGACGATCTTAGAATTGTGACCACATCCTCTGCCGTATAGGGTCGTTGTGGTCGTGCTAAACGTTCACGTATCGGTGTGTCCATGTCGTGAACACGTGAACCCGACATCGGACGCATACAGTTCACGTTAAAGCGATGCTTCTGCAAGGTTTCTTTACGCCCTAAAGACAAGGAACGATTCGCACGTTGCGCATTAGTTATAGGCCTATGATCAATTTCAATTGTTTCACTAATACTAGGATTAACATCTCTTAGGGCGGTAGATTGATCTGTTAATATAGTTGCGTAATCGGGCGGAATAGATCTTGATTCCGAATGTTCACTTTCCATGGTTAAAATTGGTCGTGATCGATTATCCCCCAAAATTCTATCAATTAAGAACATATTAGTGAAAGTTAGCCATGACTTAGAAATCATTATTCATTTCAGTTACCGTCTAACACTACGCCGAATACTTTGGCGGAACAACTTTGCTAACCGGGCTCCAGTCGCAGTTGTATATGATGGAGGCGGTGTGTACTTGGGTGGTGCATCATCCGGGTTATTAGTTAAACTAGTGTTTGCATTATTTCCAACATTTCGTACTTCAGATCGTTCAATATTTTCGCTATGCATCCGATGTGTTCGCAAATTGCCTCTGCTATCTTCTAGTGGGCAGTAAAGTAATTGAATTCTCTGAAATGGCAAAGCAAGGCATTAAATAAATAGATTTGAAAGTTTCAAAATCAAATATCCTTCGTGATGCTGATCGCTAGATTTGATTTTAAACGGTTAGTAGTTGTCTTTAAATGGCCTTGATCTCCTTGATCGTATGCGAATTTCAATTTCACTTCATTTTAATAACCATTTTTTCCTGTAAATTATAACCAAATTTGAATTCTAGTGTGACAATGCAGAATATTAGGGTTACAGCAAACGGAAGGGTGGACCTAGCGAGCTAATGTTTGAAGTACCCGTTTCATAGGATGGATTACAATATTATTACGATTATACATTAAACATTCAGGGAATGCTTTTATTCGTGCAACACGGACACTGTCAGAAGGAAGAGTGGGAAGAGCAAGAGATAGGGATTTGGTGGCCGCAGCCTAGTAAGCGTGTGCTCAATCGCTAAGTGTTATGGCTTCATCAGCTGAGCACTCATTACAGTTACGACCCCGGCAGAAAACTAACTTGAGATGGCCGACTGATGGTGTTCGGTAAAGGGGGAAAAGAAAGAAAAAAGGCTTCTACTGAAATGTTAAAAGCTTGATTAGTCTTAAATTTTTACTTACATCTAGTATATCGGGCGGACCTGATGACAGGTATCGATAAATTTGCACAATAGCTGCAATCGGTACCAATAATAGAAAACCGATTTGCGTTAAAGCTCCCACTTTACGCGACCAGTAACTAAAATGTGATTTTCCTCTCCAATAGTACAATTGACTAGATAGCGAGATTTTATAATTGATCACCGATAACGCAATCAAGCCAATGGGAAGTAAAACATTCCAGGATAATGCCAACAAAGCAGATATTGAACCTGACATTTTTAGATCATTCACCAAATCGTCACCATTGTAAGGACGACCACGTATTAAAAACACGCCAAGGATATGCGAAACCCATAAAATGGGTATAAACCAGGCTCCACCTAATAAAAAATCCATATAATGCAAGAGCATTACACCAGCTTCTGTGGCGAATGGAATGCTTAACAGCAAACCGGTCATACAACTTAGCAATACTGCTCTCGTGGAACTACCAAGAGTACTTGAAATTGATTGCCACATAACGCAAAGTTGATTTATACCAAATATCAATAAGGATATGAAAATAACTGCTGTCCAAATCCAAGACATTTGATTGCTCGCCACAGCTGCCGCTGACGGCAACAGCTCAGTTACAAAACGCAGCATTTGATAACCGCTTTCACTTTTATGTAATGCCGTAGGACGTCGATATGTTTCACCAATGAAGCTTGAATAATGAGGCACTAACTTAGCCGGAAAAGATATTATTTCGGCATTTGTTGTCGACTCGCTTAATAAATAAACTGATCGGGAACTTGTGAGCGTTTCTGTAAGCAATTGAAATTGGGGCTAATTCGAAAGAAAAAAAAAAAAAAGAAGGAAAATTCAAAATACAAACCATAGGAACCGGGTATATAAACATAAGCATTTTGATTTAATAGCTGAATACATGATAAGCCAACAAGAGCCGCTAAACTCAAGCCTAAGAATGTTAGGAAGACGACTAAAATTGCATCGCGACGTAATGTGACCTTTGTGGCATTGCTACACGTTCGACTGGTAATCGCGATCACGGATGAGCCCAATAGACCCCAAGTTAAAAATGTTTCTTGAGCAGCCACACCCCAAGTTTTTGAATTAATTAGAAAATCATCCAATTCCCCTGAGCTAAAAATATACTAAATTTAAAAATCGTGAAAATCAATGTCACGTTCATACATAAATATCATAATTACCTGAAGTTTAGTTAAGTCAATGACACATAACATTTTCCCAGTTACCACAATCAACGCAATAAGAGCCAATGGACCCAGTTCAACTATAATCGTACCAAACGATTTGAGGCCCTTGCATAATATTGAAAAGACACTAATCCAAAGTACGAATAATCCAAAAATTAACTGTTCCACGAAAGCATCAATTCATTAGATTCATGATAAACGAATTCAATATACGCTTCCATCGGCAGCGTATATAGATTTTAGATATTAGATTTTATTAGTACTTACACGATCGTTAAGGCGATATTGAGTACCGCTGCCTTCGTTGAATTTCATTAATAATCTCAGTCTTTGCAAAATGATTATATTAAAGTAATCCGGTACATATTGTGTGAGGTTAACGTTTACGCTTGAGGTGTGATTTTCATAAATGGACGGATATATCGGATCCATCCAACGATAATTGGATTGATACTTGAACGTATCGTGGATGAATATTAAAAGCCAAACTATAATTACTGACGAATAGATCGCAATAAGATATTGCACTAGAACTAAAGCCAAGCCAATGCCACAACAAATGGGACTTATCCGCCACATGGAGACCGGGCCAGCTTTGATTTTGGCACCCAAACACATTTGCAGCCAAAAAAATGGAATTCCAAATATTATCGAAAGCAATAGAAACTGTATGAGGAAGTTGCCGCCATAATTGACAGTCAACACGGCAAAGCGACACGTATTGAAAAGACCTAGCGTCGACGAGAGCAATGCAATGGTACGGCTGCCGGTACATGGCCATATAGAGTTGAAGCCACGCTTTTGCGAGTCCCGCACATTTTCATGATTAATATCGGTTTCGTTCATTTCCAAACTAGTTTCTGCGCCGCGATGTAGTGAGGTTGAGCAATCGCTCGACTCCGAACTTGTTTCAATGGAAACCGCACTTGTGTTATGCGACGAATGTATTGTACTAGTCTCTGAGCCAATATGCAATGTTTGACCCCCTCCGCTATCTTGGCTATGCTCTGCTAATATAAAGCCACTGGAACTGCGTGTATTCTCTAGCGAAGCAATCGGTGCACTGCTTGGCCTAGAATCTTGATAGTTTACAATAATACAACTTCCGCTTGCATTTATAGATGGCATTGATATGCGCGGAGTACCTTCAGCTCGTCTGCCATACTGCCGTGGTGTGCTTTCGTCTATTGCATATGAACTCGCGCTTTGTTCGAGAAGATTTTGGAAAATTTGCTCAGCGGTCAATATATTTGGTGGTGTACTCCTCGCTGCCAAAGTCTTAGTTTCAGTCCTCTCGGTTGAAGTGGGGCTCAAATCTTTTTCTTCCGATTCGGAAACACTATTAAAGCTAATACTGGAGGCGGAAAGTCTTCTTTCATTTCGATGCTCATTCATAATCCAATTATTGCTTTCTACCTCGGCCTCATTTAAATCAAAAATTTTCTGTTTGCTACCATTCAAAAGTTGCTTATCAGCAATGCAGCTAATTGTTTTCCTTACGTCTGCGTTGCGTTGAAAGCTATCCGCGGAACATTTAGTGGATGGAAGTTTTTTTATTAAAGGCAAGGTACCACTCTCAATACGTGGCAGCGTATTCGAGGCAACACTACATTCGTCCATTTGTTCCAAATAATTGTCAAGATCTTCCAAGCAGTCTTGTACACGAGTTTGCTCCACATCAGATTCAGTTCGACTGAGTGAGCAAGAGGAATAATCGGTGAGGGATTTATCATGAATCTCTAGAATTGCATCTAACTCCTGAATGGCATCAAATGCATCATCCGAAGGTAATTCTATAATTGCCTTTTCCGTACAAGCCGCACCATTCGCTTGCAAAGACCGTCGCAATTGTTCAGACACATGTTGTACTTCATTGGAATCATTGTCACTTAAATCATCGCTAATAACTTCGCAAGCTCTTCGTACTGACTCTCTTGATAAGTTTTCCGATAGACCAAATGATTCTTTACTTAAATTTTCACAAGCATGATATTTATCTCTTGTCAGCAAGTCTTCTCGTATACAATTGCCGGTTATAGGCCGACAAGCGTTAAAAGCTTTTTTACCTTCAATGCAACGATCAAGCGATGTCGCATTTTCCAAGCCATTCCAGGCCGATATTGTGTTCTCCAATTCTTTATTTGGCAGGCTAAAGTAACAGTTTGATTGCATTTCGATATCGCATAACCATTTCGAACCTTCGTCCGTATTGCGTTGAGATATACAATTTAAATTTACATCATCAGTATTCATTATTATGATTTCCGCGCCTGATCCCGACAAAACGAATCAATCTAAGAAAAAAAATATATAAAAATCATTAACAAATTTAAGTATTCATCAAATGACAAATAAATCGTTTTAACTATGATTAAAATATCTAAGCGAATTATATCAAAACTAACGGGAACAGTGGAACATTTTAAAGGCAAAGGACAAGACACATCGAAGTACTAAAACCTTTGAAATTTAGAGGCGTCGAGCACATACTTAAATGAACTATCGAGTAAGTTTGAATATTTTCTATCCGCCTTTCAGGGTTTGCTCCTATTGCATTTCCGAATAAGTGTAGCTCGTAAGTGACTGAAAAGTATATAGTATACGAATTCGACGCCGCAAGGCAACTAGTTTTTTGAGAGCACAAGAAAAACGCCCGAAATTCCTAGAATCAAACACACGTCAATCAAAAACCCAACCACCACAATTATCATCATTGCAAAAAGTTATTTTCAAGCAAGCAATCAAATCAATGTCAACCCATTCCGATTTGTCAAAAGGGATGACAGTTTCTCAACTGGGAATCTGAAGGGCGTTTAATGAAACGGAAAGGACGTTGCTGTGGCTCTATCCAAGAAGAACGTCTAATGCATATATCTTGAGCATCTCCCGCATGGTGCGAAATGTTGGCGCATTTCCGTTCAATACTGTTACCATTTGTTGGACGAAATTGTTGATGTGAAGAAAAGCGTGATCATGGTGGAAAGTCAAGCTATAATGTCTTTTTGCCTATTACAAGAAATTTTCCTTTAATGGTCGGGGGAATTGAACAGAGACTTGTTAGTAGGATTCTTCACCTATTAGAACATCTCTTTAGAGCGGTTCATAATAATTTACATTCAGCTGATCTTCCTATACGGAAAATTTTCGCCTTTGGTGTTTATATTAAGGATTCACCTGATCTTTACCATGAACTTTTTATACTTCCGAGATTGTGTAGAGTACATCCGCCACGATTCTAACTAGGGAAGCTAGCGGTTTCCCAATTGCTTTTTTTCAGCATTAGCCTTAACTTATATAACAATTCTCCCAAGAACTACGTTGTGTTTACCTTCGCGGGACCTTCTCCGTTGTACGGAACTTAAAGACAACACTTTGACTTGAGGACCTTAGAGTGGGACAATTAAGTTCCCTTTTCATCTGTGGTGTTTGAAAGCGAATTCTTTAAAGTCGTGTTTTGTATATTTTTTTATTTTAGAAGTTGATGATGAGCCTTTTTTCAACGGGTGTCTACGTCAGTTAGGATGTTAGAACCTCTTCAAGGAAAAAAGAAAAAACCAAGATGAAATGAAATCATCGCTTTCACTGATCGCACAATGTAATTCAATCTCATTTGAGTTTACCGCAAACGATATATAGTTTAGTTGCTATTCTCGCTGCACCTGGTTATGTAATTCGATTTCCCCACTTAGTCACTCTTGCAATGATAATCGTCTGCCAAATTTCATTCGTCTCACATAAAAGTAAAGTATATCATATTTTTCGTGATAACAACAAATATTCGCCACAAGTCGTGTCCAATGTCTTTTTTATTCGTATATATATATATATATGGTAAGCATAACCTTTTATTTTTGTCATACGCATTACGGTATTCGTTGCGGTATAATAATGAATAACGTTGTTGTAATGTAATCACCTTTTTTTCGTTCAAGTTTCAATTTTTCAATAAAAACAAAAACTGTTTGTTTATGCAAACAAATGCATATGTTTCTCGAGCCAATTTAAATAAGGTTGTAAGTCAGCTAGAAAAATCGTACTTTTTATTAAGTAAGGTCAAGTTCTCGAGTTCATCATTATTTCACTAAATGCATAGTCAGCATATTAACAAAGCCGCTCTACTCATGCAATTGTAACGGGGTACTTAAATATAGATGCGGATATGTATGTATGCATGTATGTTTTGTTTTCAATTTTTTTTTTTGGACGCAGTAACAGCACAGTGCTAATTGATGGCCCTGCACTGAGGTCAAAGTCATCCTGGAACCGCTTTCGTATTACGGATTCTTCCTGTCTTCCCCATCCTCGACTGAGATTCGGGTGAGGTTCGGGTGTCGCCTTCAATTGGCCTTATATCGAGCCATTTCCTCCATTTTTGGTTGTCCATTAACATGACTACTAGCAGATTATCTGGCGTAATATCTACTTCTAGAGATCTGAAAAGCATGTTTGAGCAAACATGCCCAGACGGGACGGACGAAAACAGTGGATTGCGCACCGTCTTTTATACCTTGGCACAGGCTGCATGCGTTATCCGCTCGTAAGTTGAAACTGCACAAATAACTCGAGAGATTTCCATAGCCAGCGAAAAATTTGATTTGGAAGAAATTAACTTGTCCCTGTTTCCTCCCCCTTCATAATACTACGTTTGGGATAAGTGTGTAGGTTTACTTTCTTTTCACGTCGTTTTCCCATCGTTGCTGCCATTCTGCCAACATGCTCTGCCGGATAACATACCGGCCGCCGCAATCTGCAGCTTGTGTGTATATACATATATATATATAGCGTGCATGTATGTATGTATATGTCATATACGTGAATGAATATTATTAATAAAATTTCGCGGTCAATATTTGTTAACATATTGTCTACGTATAATAGTCTATTAATACAAGCAGGAATTGTTAGACTTTTTTTTATTCATTTCATTCGAAATGATATCTGGTAACCGCAGCTTATTTATCTACAAAGTTAAATGCATTGAATTGAATGTTAATGCAGTAAAGGAAAACCTCACTTTATATAAATTAATTATATACATCGATTATAGAATGATGCGGATCAGTCCTCAAGTGCCGATATGTGCCGCTTATCAACTTTCCCACTCATCACTTCGTTTAATTCAGTTACTCACTCGTTTTAATAATAACGCATCAAAAATTTTACATTCTCTTCATGCAAGCCTGCATATTGGAGAATGGCCCAAATCGTCATATAACGTCGTCCAAATTTAGCATATTTAAGTTACTTCCTACAAATTTTATTATTTTTCAGTTTCCATGATAAGAAACTAGAAATTAGCCATTTCCTCCATATAAGGCCTTGCTTTTCCTTATAATTCCTACATACGTTAGGATATTAAAAATGGACCTATGTGATCCATTCATTTCTTTCCCAAGTTGCTACTGTGAGCCAATTTTCGTCATAAAATGCTAAAAATTAAGCAAATTTTCTGAATTACTTAGTATTCATGAGATATCTTATAAGAAGTGGGGTCCAAGAAATAGACCCATGTGGCTTGATTTCTTTGTCAACTTACTATTATGAATCAATTTTCACCATGACAGCAGAGTATAAAGAACAACGAAAAAGTCACCTACGCTTGGGGCGAAATTTTTGACAGCCTGCGAACTTCTAATGAATGCATAAAAACTGAAAAGTATTTTGCTAAGTGTAGGATTGTTTTCGAAGAATTTCGATCTGCTTTACCGATTTTTTACATGATTTTGAAGAATGCTTGCCGCAAGTGGCAATAACTTGAGAACTTTTTATATATTGTAGGTGTTAAGGGAGAAAGTGAACTCGACCTAGATATCGCGTTTTTAGATATCATTTGTAGCTGTGCGAAATGCTCATAATGGGCTTGAAATCATTACTCTTGTAAACGCAATCGTGTCCGAACATTATATTGAGGCACCAAAGAAGTCAAGTTTTATCAAAGAGATATGATCTCAAAAATCTTCCACCGCCATCACCACTCTGTCTTTTGTACCCTACACCCGTTATCGTACAGAGGGTACATTAAGTTTATGCAGATGCTGAACGACGTTAGAAAGATCCACTTTTCATTGTACGGATTTAAGGTTGTCTGTCTGTGTAACAATCCGATATCTGTCCTTGTATACTTGTGTTCAACGTACATGTTACAGTCTTTGAGACAGCGACGTGTGGTGCTCTAAGGACGAAGGCTATTGAACATTTTGGGGATTAACCTTATTTTAAAAAGTCTTTACATGAATATCTACGTTAAGAATAAGTGTAAGGCGGGTCGTAGCCCGCTTTAATGGTAATGGTACTTGTTTCATAGCAAGTAACTGAAACTACTAGAACTTCACTGTCTCTTGGATATGTTGTAACTCGTTTCTGAAACAAAGAGATTACGATTAAGATGTTAAATCTAAGCCGAATACTTTTTTCATATTATATAATATCAAATAAAACATTTTTTTTTTATACCCATCACTGTAAGATGGGGATGTACTCATTTTGTTTTTTTTTCCACAATGTATGTAGCACACAAAAGGAAGCTTCAGAGAACCTACAAAGTATATATATTTTTCGTCAGTTGATCTAGTCATGTCTGTCCTTCTGTGTGTCTGTGTTGTTGGCGTCAAATTGGTTCCGAGCAGAAGCGCACAATGGAGCGTAAATCGTACGCAACCCAGTTTTTTTTTTAACAAATATCTTTGGAGGTTTGCTTGTTACTCGGATATTATTTCAAATAGAAGGCTGAAATTTTCCATATTTACTTTACGCAATACTCTACTCTTTAGGTCCAAAAAATGCAACCAATCAGCCATGCCTACATGAAGTTACGAGCAATTAAATTTTATTTTTTTAACTTTTTTTTGAAGTCTTTTACGTATTGATCATCAGACAAGCAAGACAAAATGTTTACAAGTATTTTGTCCACTCCCCAAATGAAGATATATTGTCTGCCTAAAAATGGATTCATTTTAAAATGAAGATATGATAGACACCGCGACCTGATGGATTAATTATTTTTTAATAATACCAGCGATATGGGTATCAAATAAAAGAACTAGAACTGGGAACGTAGAATGCGAAAAGCATAGGGATGAGTATACGAGATTCGGCCCCAGCCGAATATAACTAACTAAAATTTTCTTACTTGTCTTTATTTGTTTGAATATTTTGAAAAATGCTTAAAATTTAAAAATTTTTTTTATTTAATTTTTTATTTTATTTTTTTTTTTTTGTTTGTGTTGCTACTGCTACTTACTACGCGAAATCAAAATAAAATGTATATCGATTGATGCATGACACATACCAATTA